AAAAAAAAAAAAAAAAAAAAAAAAAAAAAAAAAAAAAAAAAAAAAAAAAAAAAAAAAAAAAAAAAACTCTCTTTATTCCTAAGTGAAATACGAGTGTCTGCATATGAATATCTAATCTAAGTGATTTCAGATGATTACAAAGTTTCTCCTTTCAAATTGTACGATATAATAATGTTGTTTATACTTGATGCTACAAAAATCGTAGTGAGCTTGTGTATAGAGTCCCGCTCATAGTTGTTGCACTCTCCTAACAGGAGAAGATCTATTAGCCATTGCAGCAGACCAACCATTTCGCTTTCCGGCCACATTCACATTTGTTGTTAGAGCATTTTCAGGTAATTTACAATAAATATGAAGGAACTGTTGCAAAATCGTATAATGACATTAAACGCTGAAAAACAAACTATTCCTGCAGTATTAGATGGCATTGGGAAAGGCCTCGACCCACGATTTGATATTACTGAAATTGCCAAGCCGTGAGTTTTGTCAGGGCTTACAATATTTTAAACTCCTCTAATCTTGACATTTTAGGATGTGAAAGTTTTTCTGCTTATCTTACATGGCGTTATGCTCATCATTTAGATATGCTCTGGAATTATTGAAATTTCGGGAAGCTGGAGTTGAGGTTGCCGTGAAGGTAAACATGATTGTCCTTTTCCACTTCGTCGTATTTCACATAATTTTCTTATTGCGAGCTTGATTTTCAATCCTACAAACGTTCAGGACTTCAGAAAGAGATGGGATAGGCAGTCTCGTGCATTCTATAACTTATTTAGACAGGCCGAAAGAGTTGAAAAACTTGCTGAAGTTATCCAAAGACTGGTAATGACGACAAACCTTCCCTGAAATCAATGGGCATGTCAGACCTTAGATGTAACTTTCATATTGGACCTGAATTTTATTTAATCAACAGGAGCAAGGTGATCTCAAGCTTAGAGTTCGGGCTTTGGAATCTGAAAGAGCATTCCAACGTGTTGCAACAGTTCAGAAGACGCTAGGAAATGTGAGTTTTTCAGTTGTTTCACATGCTTGCCTGGTGGGCTTGTTTGCATGTTAACATATTTCGACCACATTATCAGTTGGGATCCATAGAGATCTTATTGACCTCCCATCCTTCTACGTATGAAGGTTGGGAGGTCTACCAAGATCCAAATAGATTTTTTGTTGTAAAAGTTATAGACGAAAATTTGTACAACTTTCTGCATATGTTGGAAAGATTATATTCTGGCAAGTTCAATATCCCACCTTTTGACCATTAACAGGCAATAGCTGCTGGAAGCCTAATCAACCTTGCAACAATATTATATATCAATTCTATTCGGGTAAGAGGTGCTCTTGTTTTCTCTGAACTTGCTGCCATCTGTATTGCCTTATGATTATTGAATAGTTGCTATACTTTTTTCAGATGCCTGCCACTATTGCCTACATATGTTGTGCCTTTTTTGGGTTCCAAGTCCTCATCGGTCTTATCAAAGTCAAAAGAATAGATGAGCGGGAGAAGTTGATAACAGGAACCGCGTGAAAAAATAGGTAAGTAATTCCTTACCGCCTCCCCTCTTCCTGCCCTCTCGTGACATGGCATTGCCCTCGCAAGTGGATACAATTCCTTGAAAATATATGTTGAATTTAAGTGATCCCGAACATCACGACCTTCCAAATGGACATGTTTCAGGTTTCAGAGTTATGAATCACCACAGCAAATGAATCTGCTTACAATTCTCATCACATAGTTGTTTGAAAGCACTGGTTTGTAGCCTGAGGTATACATCATCTAAAGATTATATTAGATGATTTGGGTTGGAAACGTGAGAACTTCTTCCGAGTTTACTGAAATCATATGATACGAATTGATTTTCTCCATATGGTTGGTTAACCAGCTCTGTTTTCTGAGTATTTTGAGCTTGCCTCATAAGCACTCCACAGGTGTGTCATCGAGTCTGGCAGCAGTTATAGTTTAAACAATTAGTCGGTGAAAATATGGAATAATGTATGCACCGTTTTTATTAGATATTGGAAAATGTTAATGTATTATGCAGAATGCTGCAACATAGAATTATTTTCCTCCCCTCGTTTATGTATATAATATGTAGATGCAATAGATAACTTAATTCTAAATCCCATTTCTGGGTTCATGTTTTTTTTGCTTGTTTCATTCTCTCATCCATCTTTCGCGCCAGAATCAAGTGGACTGCAAAAAAGTACCACTAAGATTGAAACTTCAGTTTTCGTTATGAACTACAGTTACTTAGAAAAGGTATATACTCGACTCATTAGAAGAGTTTCTTTTACACTGTAATTATTCTCATTTGAGTAGATATTTTAGACAGCATGAATTATGGAACTTTGCACAATCGAAGAGAGTTGTTGGCTGAAGACAGCCTTCATGTTTGGAACATTTTATTTTATCCCATCCTCCTTCGCACTTAACATCTACCATTTTCACACCAATACCTTCCCTTTATTTTGCAAATACAAAGGCACTATTTACCATGCAGCCAGAAACGTCATCTTCAGAGGAGTTGCAGTTTCCACAAAGGAAAGAAGTTTGAAGCTTTAAACTGCTTGTGAATTGCTGCTGCTACTTGACAAATGAGGTATGGACACAGGTTATGATTCTCTTATTATCTCTGCCACTGAAGTAAGAAATTTAGATTGCATGGAGTTTGCATAAACTAAGGAATAGATTGAGTGTAGACATAGTCTTCATGTTCAAAAACACTCTCTTTTCTGCCTCCCCCCATTTTGCATTCATCACTAACATCTTGACACTTGGATCTTCCCTGTGTTTGCCCCTAATGTAAGAACCATCATTTAATACAGTATGAACTCAGAGAAATAGAGAAACAGAGAGACAGAAAGAGAGGCTTACCAAATGGAAGGATTTAATGGAACCCACCACTAGTTCATTGGATTTTGCACGTCCATGCCCAACCAGAGCAAAGCAGAAGAAGAAAATCAGAAAGATAGCAAATCTTAGGGATCTCATTGAGTGGAGAAAGTTTTGCTGTCAAACTAGGAGTAAGTAGCGTTTTATAAGATGAAGAAGCTTCAGATCATGGGATTCAGAAACTAGACAGGCACCGACAGGACAAGATCTTGAAAGCTTCTTCAGACAAAAATATTATACTGGTACAACTAATTTCTAATCTTTTTGATAGATGTGCTTTTGTGAAATTGAGCTTGCTTTTGACCTGTCGCCTGATTCCTTGGCAGCGAAGCTCGACCCTCAAGGAAATGGGTTGGCTTTCTTGGTGCCTCTCTCGAATGCATCCATAAACAAAATGAAGGGAGCTGAGGTGCGTGGAAAGTTGCTATTAATTTGGTTTTATCTTCAAGATTCTCCGAGCTGTCACTTCTCTCTTGGTCTGGTTGCTGATCCACGCTCACGTTGCTAGCCACTCACTCGCCCCCCACCGCCAGCTACAGGTTCGACCTTTATTTTGTTAATTATTTTGCAAACTTATTGACTAAATACGGAACTCAAATGAATCATCTTAGAGCCTCAGATTATGAAGAGGTAGTAGCTGCTGCTTACTTATACGATGCTATCTTCTGTCAATTAAATCACTTAGTACAGATCTTATGCAGAAAATTAAGAACAATATGACAGAATAATTTGGTCAATAGGAAAGTCACCTAAGATGCCATTTTCTGCCATTGAAATCACGTCGTGCAGATCTTATGTAGAAAATCGTGAACAATACAACCAATTGATTTGGTCAATATATTAGAAGAGTCACAATGTGATTGCATCTTTTTATAATCTCTATCCTTTACAGGGAATCATTTTATGTGTGTGTGCGTGTTAGGTAATGTGCTACCATGGCATTTTTTAAAGGGAAGGAGTCTTAAATCCATACATATAATATTGCAAGTTGTGATATATATAGTATTTAAATAATGGATGGGTTTGTAAAATAAATTGTGAAAAATGTATTTACCTAGACTCCATTAACTACTCTGAACCTTGTTTATATATTCTGACATGACATTGAAATCCCCACTGCTTTAAATTGTTGATGGTTTTGCTTAAAGGCATTTAGTTACACGTTCTTGGAATTCTATTTCACCTTGGATAGAGCTTTTCCAGTTCTCCCAAATTTGGTCGACTTCTTCATTCTTAATAAAAAAAAATTGCCTTTTTGGTAGAGTACAGAAACCTTAATTTTTGCTTGAACTGCCATAAGCCTGTTTGGAAGGAATCAAGCTTATAATATTAATTACACATTGCTTGAGAAACCAGTTTTCTCATAGTTGGCTTGGGCCATACTTCTTGTGGAACCAAAAAATAATACTCTTGGAAATTTCCTATCATTATTTAGAGGGCTGATTTCTTCTTTATCTAATCACCTTTTGCCCTGTTAATATCAAGAGTTGAACTTGTGCATTTGTTGAACGTTCAGGGTAAGCAGGGTTTGGATGAAGGCAAGCTTATGAGAAAAAGAGGTGGGGGCACCTTTTTTACCCTAAAAAAGCCAGAGTTGCCACTCGTAGATCTCTGGTGGATGGCTGTGTGCGTGTTCAAGAGAGAATGTGGCCAGCAATAAGGCCAAAACTGCCAGGTATTCTCCCTGTTCAATTTTCACAAAGGCCAAACTGGAAATGCAAATGTGTTAAATTTTTAGTGTTTTTATATGGTCATTGTTTTTAATTATTGGTATTCTTTTTCAAATATATGTTCAAACGTTTGTAAATTACTAGAAAGTGCTTTTCTGAAAGAAAAAATAATAATTTTTAAGATATATATATTAGTGGAAAAGTCGTATGAGTTAGTTTTAAATACTTTGTTAAGATGGTGAAAATTTTGATGCCAAGTTTGTTGATTAGATGAGTGTATATTTATTATAATTTTTATTTCAATATTGGAATATAACTTATATTTTTATTATAATAATTATTATACTATATATTCAATTTCAACTTTAAATTTTCAATTTAAATTATTTATTTGAGTCATTGATGAAATACTTAAAATTAATCATGAACATATCTTATAAATTAAAGATAATGACAGAGACTTGTGTTTTGGCTTCTTCATTGACTTTAAACCATACAGGACAACTACATTTGTTTGTTTTTAGTATATTTCATTCAATTATAATAATGGAAATTGTTGTCAAAATTGATATATTTGGTTAAGTTTTTGAAATTTGAATTGGTAACTTTTAATTTTTGAAATTTGAAAAATGATTCTAAATGTTAGGTGAGTTAATTGCAAAATTTAAATGGTGGATGGCCTTTACTAATTTTATATTATTTTTTCAGATTGCTTGGATTTTTCTTTTTCTCTTTTCTTTTATCTCTCACTCAACGTCTTCCTCTTCATCTCTCCGATGGGTGTTATTGTCGACAAATATCATCAATCGGTCTTTCGTTTGGAGCCTTACCCTGATTAGATTTGATTTGGGTTTATAAGTGAGAAATACTATCTCTAGAATGAGGCATTTTGGAGAAGCTCAAAGCACAGTCATGAATGTTTATGCTCAAAGTGGACAATATCATATCATTGTAAAGAGTTGTGATTACAATCCATCTCTCTCTATATATATTTGCTTTTGCTCTGCCGTTAACAGCTTCTTCAGCTCCCATTTGTTGGATGAAAGTCCCACATTGACTAATTCAAGAAATGATCATGGGTTTAATAAAAAAAAATACTGTCTCCATTGGTGTGAGGTCTTTTGGGAGAAGCTCAAAGCAAAGTCATAAGAACTCATGCTCAAAGTGAACAATATCATACTATTGTAGAGAGTTGTGTTCATTTAACACCATACACCCAAAAAGGTTTGAAGAAGTTAAGTTAATCATTTAATAGTGATGGACTCAAAACTATAGAATGAGGATTGGGAGTTCATGGGATCTCTAATCGGATGACCCAAAAAGTTGAGGATTGGGAGGCCCACATTGGTTAATTTAGTGGAATATCACGAGTTTATAAGTGAGGAATACTATCTCTATTGGTATGAGACATTTTGGAAAAGTCCAAAGCAAAACCAAAGGAGTCAAAGTGGACAATTTCATACCATTGTGAATAATTGTGATTCCTAACCCCGAAAGGCGATTTGGGGCGGAGAGTTGGCACCGAAGACTCGGATTTTCCATTTGATTGGCTCGTTTCCGGGGGCGATGGAGGAAGAAGAAGCTGAGCCATGGGGAACGGTTGCTGAAACGACGAATCGCCGGTAGTTGGCAACGACGATAATACCCACCGGAGAAAATGAAGAGTTTGGAGAATGGACGGAGAGAGAAAATAAAGAATAAAAGGAATAAAAACAAAAAAGCCATGAAATCTAAGCGATCAATATCAAATTAGTCAAGTCATTAATTTCGATTATAATTAATTTTTCTTTTAAAAATTACTAATGGTGAAATTCATTTCAAACTATTTTCAGAATTAAAAAAATATATATTTTACCTTCTTTTATAAAATAAAATTTCAAGTCTAGAGTTTATTTCACATTAAATGAAAGTAAAAAAAAATGATCATTTTTTTTTAAAACTCAAACTTAAATGTTATAGATTAAATAAATAATTTAATATTAAAATAATCAATAAGTGGAAACTCGAGCACAAATTGATTTATTATAACATATTGTCAACCGAAAGTTAAAAGTTTAATTCTTCTGTCACACCTACGAGTGAACTCTAAAAAAATGTCCAAACATAAAAGTTTCAAAAATTAGGAACAAAAAAAAAAAAAAAAAACCGAAATGCCCTCTAAAAAAGTTTAAGAACCAAACATATTTTCATAATAATATAATACCATTTACCAAGCGAACCGATCATAATTAAGACATTAGTAATTTTTCAACATTTTGGAAGGGGGATGATTCAAATTTACAAATTTACATTTCCAAACGGACAAAATTAAATTAATCTATAAATTTTAAATTTGGTGTGTAATAAATATTAGATGGGTGAGATATATGTTAAAAATTAAGACAAAAATGAGAAACAAAATTTATGAAAATAAATCTAGGTCAATTATGGGACATTATTTGTCCAAGAAGTTGGATGTATAAAAAGACATCTAGGTATTAGAAAAAGACGACATCTTGGTCTTTTTCAAAATATTAAAAAAAAAAAAGACGAAAAAAGAAAATAAATGTACAATTTACTTATTTTAGTAAATTTCCAAGAAAGAATTAGAAAAAGCAGAGGAATTTATTTGTTGTAATTGAAAGAAAAATAAAAACACTATTTTTTATAAGTAAGAAAAATATTAGGAAATTTTGCTTAGCTGTTATCCACCTCCATTACGATCAAAACCTCCATGATTATCTGCGGAACTGAAGGATAGAGAAACAGAGAGCAAGAACGAATCCTCTTAACGCCGGCTGATTCCTCCTCCCCTTCACCGGCACTGCCTTCGTCTTCTCAGTTCACCAGCCCTGACATCAACGACCAGTAGAAGAACAAAGAAGAAACAGGAAGCCGCCATCTCTGTTGACCTAAAATCTTCTTTCCTTTACTCTTTCTTGTACTGACGGCGTCAAGTCGGTGTTATTGTGGAGGTGAGAGCATGTGGAGCGACGGAGGAGAGTACCGGCGGGAGGAGAGAACAGAAGAATGGAGATGGATTCGGAGCCGGCGAGTTGTTTTGGAGCATTGTCCTTTTGTTTGACTGTGGTTTTACTTGGCTTTCACATCTGACCAAAACCGCCATTTTTAACGCTTTCTCTTTCTCTCTCTCTCTTCGTTGTTTGGATTCTGATGTACATATACTCCGCTTCTATCTCAACTTTATCTCTCTTCTTTTCTTGACGTTCGGCCTGGTTCTAGGGTTTTGAGTACTCTTCTCTTCTAGTGTGGGCAAAATCCGTCGATGAATTATTAGGGTTTCCCACATTGTCACCAATGAATCTCGATTCTTATTTATACCACGGAGTTCTCTCTGTTTACTTCGTTTATCTCCTTATCGTCTTGGTTTCCGCAGCCTCTGATTCTGAACTCAACTGCCTGCTTGAATTCAAGAAGGGGATTCAGAAAGATCCGCACAACTCGCTTCAGGGGAAGTGGGATTTGGCCTTTGTTTCGAACTCCGATGGTTGTCCTTTGTCCTGGACTGGCGTGTCTTGTGATGAGAACGGTAATGTGTCTGCAATTGTGCTGGACCATCTAGGCTTGGGCGGGGAGTTGAAGTTTCAGACTCTGATTGGGCTTAAGAGCCTTAAGAATTTGAGTCTTTCTGGGAATGATTTCACTGGAAGGCTTGTTCCAGCTCTTGGGACATTATATAGTCTGCAGCATTTGGATCTGTCTTTCAATAGATTTTACGGGCCGATCCCCGCGCGGATCAATGATCTTTACAATCTGAACTATCTTAATTTCTCTGTAAATCACTTCACTGGTGGGTTTCCAGTTGGTACATTAAATCTTAATCAGCTCAAGGTATTGGATTTGCACTCTAATCGACTTTATGGGAACAT